GGTCCAAACTCTCTGCTCAAAACCTAAAGGTTATTATTCAAAGTCCTAGAGGAGAAAAATGGTGTAATGCCTTCCCTCAGCATCTAAAAAGACATAACAGACCATTACTGACTACGGATATAAGATACACAGAGTATACCAGGGCATAGATGTAAGTATTTGTGGAGAGGTTTTAAAGCCATTGTTGTCCATTTTTGCACATTAAAACCCACAAAGAGTTTTATTTAGAGCACTAAATCCTTTCATTTCTCTCTGGCTGGATTTTTGACTATTAAAATATTCATCAGGCACTCCAAGAATCTTGATGCCAAGTATTTATTTTATTTTTTATAACCTTTTAAATAGTTTCTTTAAAATACCTTCAGGTGTACACATTGCTCTTTAAAAAACACTGAAAGTAAGAGTTTATTGTAAAACAGCGAGAAATGAGGTATCAGGCACTGCTGAGACCTCAGTACAACAAAGGGGTGGATTCCACGGAATTCAGAGCTAAGGGGAGACAGAAGGGGCATTTTTTCAAAGTTGAAAGTTTCCAATGTGAAAATTCTTCAGGTTTCACATAGGAAGATGTAATTTTCTGTTGCCAAATAACGGGAGGGGTGGGGGGAAGGCTTCTACAAAAGGGGTATTTATGTCAAAATGTCCCATTTGGATTTCCTTTCAGATGGGCAATATTTTTTGTAAGGCAGGCTGCTGGCACTGAGAGAAATCACTATTTTCTGTTTGAAAATTTCCCCCTCTTTTGCCTAACAGGAAACCCCTGGCCCTGAAATGATGCTTGCAGGCAGGGGGCTGACACGGCAGTGGTGCTGCTGCTCTCCCTGCAATACCAGATCTGAGCCTCCCACTTCCTAACACAGCCAAACAGGGAGCTGCTCCCAGCTCCTGCTCCAGGCAGCCTGGGGTCGTCAGTGTGGAGCAGCCCAGGCTGTGTTTGTCAGAGACAGTGACAGAGCTGCCCTTCCCGAGGTGAATATTGACTCTTGTTGCCCAGAAGAGCAGTGGATGCCCCATCCCTTGAAGTTCAAGGCCAGGCTGGAGGGGGCTCTGAGCAACCTGGTCTAGTGGAAGGTGACCCATGGCAGGGTGGGTTGGAACAAGATGGAACAACCCAAACCATTCAGTGATTCTACGATTCATTCTCTGATTCTATGACTGTTGTGCAGTGATGCACAGGGTGTGCCCCTGCAGCCTGTTGGCCCTGCACACTTGGCACAGGGGCAGGAGGGGTCACGTGCCAGCAATGGGGATCTCCTGTCCACAGTGATGGGATCTCCTACCCACAGGGGTGGGATGAAGGGCACAGATGCTGCAGCACCATCAGTGGTAGCGGCTGGGCCTGTAGCTCACAAGCTCATCCCAGCACTGGTTTCCTGGCCAAAAGATCAGCAGCGCCACAGAGGCTCAGCCCACCTTGTCCTGTAGCTTTTGGGATGGTGGCAAATCAGGCATATTCTGCTTGGGAAGATGCCTTGGATGGAGCCTCTGACAGAGACCACAGCCAGGGCTGGCTCAGACGCCTTCACACCCTGTGACGTGCTGCTCCTCACCCTGCAGCCTCCTCAGCTAGAGATGCTGAAATGTGATCAAATGCAATTTGGCAGCTGTGAAGCTCAGTTACAAACTGCCTGGGAAGAGATTACCTTCAGCTTCCAGAACATTTCTTTTAATCTGAAGAGAAGCAGACACCTCCCCTCTCCTCCCCATGAAGCCTCCGCTTTATGCATGGAGTCAACCTCATTCTCAACACCACATTTTGAACCATTATGTTCCCCTCTATATTCCCACGTGGGATTTAATTTCTTCCATGTGGGAAAAAAAAATATTTTAACTGTCCTTCCTTCTGTTTCTTCTCACAGAGGAAGGAGTCAAAGGGTGAGATGCAAACCTTAAAAATTATACCACACTTTTACCGACTGCTTCGGTACCTCCTCCAACACCACTGTGTCCACCAGGGCTCCTCACAGGACATGGGTATGTTGCATCTTCAGGTGATTTCTTACAGAATTTGTGCCATTGCTTCTCTGTCCAAAGGGCTTTCATTCTGCGTCTATATAAATATAGAAAGCAGAAGATAATGTTTACCACCTGTATTCTCCAAGGAGCAAGGGATGTGCCCGTACATAGTTATTCCACCTGTCTTGTTTTCTCTCCCAGACACCAAGATTAATGAAAAAAGGCAAGTAAGACTGCATTTGTAGACACTGACTACATGATTACTGAACACAGAGCTTAACACTGAACGTCTGGGCCATTTAAAAGGTGACATGCATTTGTGAGGAAACACATTTAGTTTATTTATGGACAAGAGAGGGACACAGTGGATCCACTACATCATAGGCAGAGTAAGTGAAGACATCCCACAACTGGGGAGGAAGCTTATTCTTTTTCAACAAATTGCTGGTTCTCTGGCATATTAGCTATCATTAATGGATTAAATAACTTTTACTCCAACATGACCTGCTATTTCCACAAACAAGTCTCTTACCTTTACCACATTTATTTCCCACAAACTCTTTGATTTTCATTTAATGTCTACCTAAAAGGCTAAGGACTCAGGCACTCCACTCAGTTGCACTGACATTATCTTTTAATTAGCAGAGGTCACTTAATGCTTTTAGTACAATCAACAGTTGCTTTCTTTCCTTGATCAACTACAAGAGCATCACGGTTAATGCAGACTGATTAAAACCTGAAAATCCTTTAGCATAGAAGTATCTCAGGACAAGTATAATCAAGCTATGGCACATAGATCATTTTCCTTGACAGCTTTGACTGCAGCACCACCAGGAAGAACAATCCAGCACCTGTGGATAAATGGCTTCTCTTACACTGTGGGTCTCACCAGAGACCTGAAAAAGCCATGGGTGAAATTAATCCCCAGGACCACCTCCAGCTGCATGTGTTTGACATCCATGGAGTGTTTCCAAAACCCTGCCTCAGAAGAGGGAAAACTAAAATTAGGTCTCCGATGTGATCGATAAGTGATAAGTAAAGTTCACACTGGAGAGATTTACACTGCTCCCTGCTTGGCATTGCAGCTGAAAGCACATATAAAAAAATTGGGACCCATCATTTAAAGTCTTGCAAGTATAAATCAGTCTCCTCACACTTAGATGAAGCTGGGATCCTTCCCTAATTTCAGCAGAGAAAGACCTATTGGGTGCTTGGTGGGGAGAGATTTGTCTGAAGTGAACGAGTTTTTTGGGGGTAGGGACTATGTTCAGTTCAAGACAGTGGCAAATCTTCTACTTCAGAGTCACCTGCCCTGTTAAGAGACAGATTTAAAAGCTAGAGGCAAACAGACTGGGCTACTGTCTCCAATGCCTAATAGTATTGTTAATCCTTATCCTTTTGACCCATGCACAAAAAAAATTATTCCAGGAGACCAATGGTAACCACTCCTTTATAATCCCTGTATTATATCTGCTACAGAGGTTGCAAAGTCAGTAAAATGAGAAGAGCTCTTACCATGCCTGTTATAAATTAACAAAGGCTTTTAATCTTGGTAACTTTTTATTGCTAGACAAGAAGCATATGACAGAACACATATCACAAACAACAAAACCAGGATGAACCAGACCAAAAAAAAAAAAAAAAAATAGAGCAAGCATGTCCTTTTAAAAAACAATTATATAGAGCTCCCTTGGAATGGCCATACACATCCCCAGCCCAGCCGCTTTCATCTCCTCCGCTGCATTTAGGTTATGAAAGGATTTAGTTTCCCAAGAAAAGAATTTGAGACACAAGGAAGGCAGGGCAATTTTAAATTAAACAGCATGACTATGGTAACATCTGCAATAGATTGGATGCCCTAAACATAGTGCAGGAGAGATCTGTTGCCTTATCTACGGTTTGGTAAATAATTTCTCCTACCTCAAGGGTCATTACATCTTCAGCTCTTTCTGTCATTTGTGATTCCACTGAGAGGCTGAAGAATAAAGTCTCTACAGGTGCTTATGGTGCAAGTGAGCAGCTATAAATAACATCCCAGCGTTCGGCTGCGCGGGATATAAAAACCTCATTCGCTTCCTGACGTCCCTTCATTAGACACCAACTTTCAGCCCTACAGATCTCAGCATCTCCTGACATCAAATTTGGCAGGCGGTCACTAAGCAGAAATATGAGCCATTAGGGAAAAGGTTTCTTTCACCCCCCGTCCCCAAAGCTCCACAGTGCTCTCCTGAGAGAAATGGGATCTGGGATGGGGGGAAATCCTGCCAAGTGGCACATTCCCAAACTGGTGATTCAGCACAAAAACCTTCCTCTTCAGTCCTAGAGTCTGAACCCGTTAGGTGGGGGGTAACATCCCACGAGGAGGGAGCAGATCCCCAGTGTGGGGATGCACTCACATCTCTCCCCAGTCCTGCCGGGTGTTTGAGCATGAGATCCCCTCAGAACCACCCTGAGCTGCCCTGGGAGCCGCAGCTATGGCTCCATTGCAGGCTGAGGTGTGCGAAAATAACCCCCTCAGTCTGTGGCTGGAGACTGTTTCTATTACTGGGGATGAGATTTAAGACTGGGGCTGGTGCAGCAGCATCTCCCTGCTGGTCCCCAGGGAGACGCGGGCTCAGCACTGCCTGTGGAAGGTACCGGCACAAAGAGGAGCTCAAGCACAAGGGCTGTGAGGGAATCTCATTGTATGGGTGCTGGTTTTTGGATAGTGTCAAAAAATTCTCTTAATTAAAGAGAAGAGGGAAAATCAAAATTTCATGTACAAGGTATTAAAACTAAAAGAGCTGAGGAGAAGGTGAAGGGGCACTTAGATCAGGCAGGCAGAGCTAGACACGTAAGCGATGCACAGAGGACCTCATGGGACAAGGTTAGGACAGAAGTGACAGCTGGTCTGAAGAAATAGCATCTTAAGATCCAAAACCCTGTCAGGAAAACCCAACCGCGCGGCCGATAGAGAAGTTCAATAAAAAATGGGCAGGCAGGAAGAGGACACAAGGTACATAAATACATGCTTATTCAATAAAGCAAGAAATGGAACAGCAAAATTGAGCAAACAAGGCTGCCCGGTGGCAGGAGACAGCCTGATTTATTTGCCTTGCTGAAACACGGCAGCGTGGAAAACACAGCGGGGAAACTGTGTTGTCTCGGTAGGAATTATTCAGCAGAGGAGGGTTTAGGTCATGGCTGGAGCACCACAAAGAGCCTCTGGAAGCCAAGTTTCCACAGGAAGAAAAATCACACCGACGATGCATAATTGATGCAGACGTACCAGGAGCGTTGAACGCTCTGGGGACGGAGAGGAAAATTATTTAAAAGAAAAAGAAAAATCAACAAACAGTTAATAATAAAGCAGTAGTGACTTCTAATTACCTGTACACAACTGATTACAGCCCATGCCACAGTGACAAGCTGTTTCTTAGCAACTCAGAGGCGGCTTTTGGAAGGGCTCCTTCCAGGGAGGGAAGCTCCCATCTCCAGGGGAACAAAGTTCAGCGGTAAATTCTGCCTGGACCATCTGGTTTTAGGGGCTGTGGGGCATTGTAGTGAAGTATTCTATCTCCTATAGGAAGAGAGCACACATCAAAAAAAAAAAAACAACCCACAACCATTTGGGAACATGGACAGGAATCAAGTAGTCCTGTAAAGGAGGATACTCAAACCCTGGACTTGGCATGGGGGACACCCAGGAGTTTCTGGCAGAAGGGAGGTGCAGCATCTCCTGAGTCAGCAGCACAGGGGAAAGTGCAAATTCTCAGGGCCAGATGGCTTCACCCAAAAGCTCTGCAAGGAGAGAGCAATTGAGCCTCTAGCACGGAGATCCCTTCCCACTCACATCAGGTGTCTCCCTTCTTTAGGAAATGCTCAAGACAAATCCATTTCCCCGTCATGACTTTTTTTAACTCGCTGAGGAAGTCAATTATTTTGAGAAGTCAGTAAGTTACACACACCTTGGTGAACAATGTATTTCTGTAGAGAAAACTGCACCTTTCCACATGCAAATCTGAAAAATAATAAGGGAAACTCACATAGAAATCATATGATATTTGAAAACTTCTCAGGAAAAGGCGCTGGCAAGGGTTTGTTGATGAGCTGAAGTGTCCAGGAGAGAGGGAATATTTCCATGGCTCAAGAACCGGTTAAGATACAGGCATAGGTGGTTAATTTTTAAGAGGATCAAAGAACTGCATCACCGTTGATGTTTAATAAATTAATGAGCTGGAAAAGCACACAAAGAATAAATGTCAAATACCAGAGAGAAGCTAGGAAAACTCCAGGGGCTCAGGAAATCTGCATGAGCAGACACACAGAAAAATAAACACACCCAGAGCACGATGCAGCCCTACTGCATAGACATGAGGATTTAAATTCACTGGAAATTGTTTCCAATAATAATTAATAGTGAAAAAGAACAAAATTAACTGGAGCTGCCTACAACAGCCCTGCCAAAACTTTTCTCTGTGGAGTGCTGGCTGGGAGAGTGGCTGGAAGGAGCAATGTTCCCATGTTCAGTGACATCAGACCCCACCTCTGACACAACCTCAGTGCCACTGAAATCCCAGGAGGGGCAAGTTGTGGATTTCAGTGAGGGCCCCATCTGAGTCCTATATCTCAGACTGATGGCAAAAATTCAAAGCATAACCAAAAGAAAAAAAAAACACCAAAAAGAAGCAGTCTGAGCCTGATTAACTCCCAGAGTAACTGAATATACTGGATGTAAATTGACACTTTCCTCCAGGGAGAGAAACTTGAGATGTCTTCTTCATAAAGAGAAAAAGGAAACAAAATTTTTAAAGTAGAAGAATGTAGATGGCCAGAATTTAAAAAGTGGTGGAAAGATAAGCTGGGGGGACAAAAAAATCTGCATGAAACGTGCTGTAATTGCCCCACAAGTCAGTGTCCAGCAAGACTTTACCCATGGTGGGATTTGCACGAGGATCTACACAGGACCCACAGTCACATTCCTTTTTACCCTTCCTCATCTAAATGTTCCAAGCATAAAATTTGATAAGCAGGTCACTGTACTGCTGCATTCAGGAGTAACCTTTCTCACACAGCAGTGCATTGCAATGCAAATATTCTCATGAAAGATGCTTTAATAAACCACTCTATTAAAAATAATCTGCCAGCAGAGGAGTATCGACTGTGCAAATATGATATTGGAGAGCTGGGAGAAAGTAAATATGAGAACAAGTAAACGTTATTTGGTCAGGAGGGGGCAAACCCCAAAAGCCCTAGAAATAAGTAAAATTGTTTATTTTTTCAAAACATAAGGCAAAAATATTTAGCCACGTGCTGAGTCAGTGGGATCTGGGAGGCCCTCAGCCAAGTCCTTTCTGCTGAGAACAAGCTCCTGCCAGGTAAACAGGGATTGTGCTTCCTCCTGTTGTCCCCAAAGTGACAAAAACATCCTCAACTGATGTTATTGCACAAAGCTAATATTAAATGCTTTCAAATATGATTAACAAAATGCAACTTACATTAAATGACCAGAAAGTTGTCAGTTTTGGTTTTCAGTCCTAGGCTTTCTCATGAGTTCCTAACTCAAAAGGAAAACACTGTGGCTATTAAGTAAGCAAAGATTGATTTATAACACAACATTCAGAAATGTTTTCTTTGAAGCATTAACAGGTTATTTAAATGTATTAACAGGTCAAATAGTTCTGACTTTTTCTTTGTTTGGAATGTTAAAAACACTCAATTGACAATATCCAGGGAGGTTTTGCAACCAAGGGCATAAGCAGGAGGTTTGGAGCAGTTGTGTTCCTCCTAATTTACTTAACCTTTTTTTGTTGTTGTTAAATTAAGGGGTTTAATATTCTGCATTGAACCAACTATCCCTTTCTCTTTTGTTAGGGAAAAGCAGGGCTACAGCCATGACGCCTTCCGGACCCCCCATTCCCGGATGCAGACCCGCCTCGCAGACGCTGCACATGGAATCTGGGGGGGTGGAATGGCACATCTGGCAGAGGTCCAAGCACCATACCCAGGGAGCAAACAGACTGCTGCAAGAATTCCAATCAAAGCATCGCTCAGGCTTCGCAGTGCGCAGACACGTTTCTCAGCCACAAACGCTCCTGTTGACAGTTACCCAACTTTGTAATTACTGACGAGACAGGGAATACTTTGTGCTCCAGGTGCACTTCCACCAAAGGGATCCCCTGCATCTCACCCACTGTCATGGTTTGAGATAGTCTCAAAATCCAATTCCCTAGCTCCATTCCCCCTCCCACATCTCAACCTAATGTGAGATGGGTTTTTCCAGACAAAACACACCAGACTCCAAAGTGGGGGAAAGGGAAATATATTACAATGACTGTACAAATAAATACCATATCACATTATACACATGATCACAAACTATCTCTATCATGACATATGTATTTACAATGGATCAGATCTCTTCTCCCCTCCAAATAAAAGTCCAGGAGGGAAAGAAGGACAGATCCCTTCCAGATCCTTCTTAGCCTCTGGGGAAAACAAGGTTCAAACCACTACACCCACGCTAACTCAGCTGCTGCTGCAGGAGGGGCTGTGACGGTGAAATGGATTTTCATGGAGTCCCGGGAGTGGGACTCCAGGTCCCAGCAGGAGCGGGGGTTCCCACCCAGCCGTCTGGGTGCTGAGAGCTGCAGTGTCCCGTTCTCTAAAGTGCCACTGAGCCACTTTCTCTCTCAGAAGAGCTCCCAGGCTTCAAAGCAACGTACATTCAAGCATCACTTCAGCACATATTCGAGTGCTTTGCTGGAGCTGCAGCGCTCGAGCTCTGGCTGCCCAATTCCTTTTGCTGCCAAGCCCTCTGCTCCTCACCAAGCAGGAGAGCTGGCGTGGGCACAGGAGGCGAGGGCTGGAGGATCAGCATCCCACCCACCCTGCCCCTTCCCTGTTGGATAGCCACCGACACGGACACACAAATAACTGGTAACATTAAGGCACTGGGGAGGAGGATATTTTGTAAAGCAGAACACAGGCTGCTTAAATAATGAATTAAGAGGCATCAAAAATGCGTATGTAAAAGGACAGAGGGGGAAGGTTTGATATTTTAGACTATGCTAGACCACAATGAATAAATTATAAGAAAGGCTGAATACTTTACTAAGTATAAAGACGTCTAGCAAAAGAAAAGTTCTTACTCTTCTCATCCCCCACTGGGTCCCAAATGATGACAGAGCTGAGAGGGCTCAGCTGGTCTGTGAGGGTTTTTTTCCATGTACATTTTCATCTGGACCGAGGCATTTTTGTTTAACAGCATCCACCCCGTCTTTAAGCCTTTCACACCAGAGACAGCCTCGCTTATTTTTCTGACGCCGCTGAAGTTCTCCCAGTCATAACAAACTAAGAACACCCAGTCAGTTTGACAAAGATGAAGTGATAGGTAGGAGGCACATTTCATTACGCTATCAAGGCTCCGGCGCGGTAATTGGTGAGGAAACAATTCGGAGCTGTCAGCTCGGCACACACGCCTTTGTGCTGATGGATGCTCAGAGCCCTTGATGGGGTAATGAATGATGTCCAGTGTGGTCACCACTGCCCTCTTACTGGTGCCAGGATCCTCACAGAGCCCTGACCAGAGTGACCATCCCTCCCCACCCCGGGCACAGCCGCCTCCTGCACGTCCCAAGCATCAGGGCAGGTTACCACACCTGACACATCACCATGATGAGCATTTTAATTACCTCCAAGATGCAAAAAAATCAAATGCCAAACAGGGATAACACCTGCTGTGGTCTCCACCAGAGCTGCCCACACTTCCCTGAGTGTTCAGGATCTGTCCAAGCTCCTCACCTGACACAGATCTGTGGAGAATGGCACAGAGATGCCAAGTTGTACCAGTCGGTTATTGACCTTCACTGTCCTCACCCTGCACCACTGAAAGCAAAATGATTTGAGGTTTCTTCACACATGGGGACACCAAAGAGCCCTGATTCAACCCAATTCAACCATCAAAGCTGAGGATGGACGTATTGCTCTTGCATCACATCTGCCCTCCTTCAGTGCTTCCACCATATTGCAAAACTCACCTGCTTTCCACCCTTCTTGCACGACAGTTCAAACAATTACTACCCTATATTAACATTTAAAGCTTATTTTTACTTTGCTCAGCTGTTGAAAGCTGTGGATCAGATGTGAGGCAGGGAAATCATCTCCACTGGCTTTAACCAATGTGCAGGGACAAGGTCAGACACCACAGCCCTCCCTGAGTCTGCCCAAAGCTTCCCAAACCTGCAAAGAGAAGTCAATCAACTCCCTTTTTAAAGACCAACTATGGAATTGGAACGTTTAGAAAGGGGGAAATCTACAAAACCAACCTATTTTTCTTTAAAAAACAAATGTCTTCATGGTAATTGCTTTTTTTTATAAACAGAATAACAACTCCACCATTTTCCAGTATTTTCTAACTGTTTTCCAAGTGTCAGTAGTTTATATTTTCACGACACCAGGTGCATATGCACACACACCCCCCCCCAGTGCACTACATGGGACAAGTAATTAGGTAGAGGAAGGTGCAGGATATATGGCATGACTGGGTAATGTGCTGCCTAAGTGGAAATCAAGATTTTGCAGCAAAACAGGAATTTCATTAACTACTAAACAAAAACAATTCAGTAAAAAGTGTTTTTAGAACAAAATGAGAAGCAGCATTTTGCAACAAAAGATTAACTGAAAATTTTTGCTGAACTGAAAAATAAACTGAAATTATTTTCCAACACCAACTAAGTTGCTTAAAGAAAACCTGGAGAAAAATATACCAATATTATAGCATCTGAATCATCCTGGGCTAAAAGCTAAAATCTCCCTGGATTAATTTCTTTTGCAGGTATTTCCTTCTGCAAACAGGAAGGTGGAAAACAAAATCGTGACTGCAGGAGCAGTTGCTTTGTTGTGCTCCTCCGTGAGCGGCTTCTGCATCTGAAATGAGATTCCCCTCGAACGTAGGAAAGGGCTCTAGTGACACCTACTGCACTCTGCCACAATAGGTAGGGAACGCTCGCCTGCCTTACCTGGAAATCGGGCGTCCCTCCGAGGCAAAAGGCATTTCCAGTCTGCAGAGAGCCCTGGGACCAGCAGGACACCGGGCTGTCACCTCCCAGCAGGGCACTGGGTGCCAGTGGGCTCTCCTGAAGGATTCGCTGAAACAGCCACGGCACTGCCAGGGAGCACGGGAGCACAGAAAGCAGATTTTAAGTGCTGAGCTGGCGTTAACCAGCATGGAAACAGAGAATCATTTAGGTTAGAAAAGGCCTTTTAGGTCACTGAGTCCAACCATTAACCCAGCACTGCCAAGGCCACCACTAAAAAGCCTCCAGGTGCCACATCTACGCATCTTTTAAACACCCCCAGGGATGGGGACTCCACCACTTCCCTGGGCAGGCTGTGCCAGTGCTTGACAACTATTTAGGTGAAGAAATTTTCCCTAATATCCAATATAAAACCTCTTCTGGT